CACAAAGGTGCTCCAGTGAATTGCACAATTTGCTCCAATCCGTAGGCAAATCAGACCATATAAAAATCACCAACAACAATCACATACCTCCCGCTATAAGCTTTTTCTAAAGTGGTTTGTGTCTGCGATCACCCGAGCTCAGCGCCACCTGTGGTCCTACAGTGCAACCTACCACTAATCAATTTGCTAACAGTGCTGCCACTCGGTTTCATTTTGAGATAATCCCCCAGTTTCCTTCAAGAAAATCCCCTAAAATACAATGGCTCCTGGCGCCGGCAAGCGACGTGGTGAAGCTATATGCAATGATGCTGAACCTGCAAAAACCCCTCGCATTAGTGATTCCCCTAGCCTAATGCGGAGTATGGATCTTCGCTTCACGAAATACAAGGATCTTGTTTCAAAACAAATTCTGGACTCTGAAAACAGAATCACAGAGCTTTTCTTCCGAAAATTCGAAGACAAGATCGAAGTTATACAGCGCGATTTAAATTGCATAAGCGATAGAGTCACTCGTTTAGAGTCAGCGTTCGACCGTATTGAGGCCCTTGAAGCCGAGTTAGCTGTCTTGAAGACTAACATGTCGAGGCAGGAAAATTTAATAGCCGCATGCGATGTCCGAATGAATGGAGTACCTCTCGAAAAAGGTGAAAACCTACAAAGTATATTCCACCATCTCTGTTTTACGTTGGACATACAACCTCCTCCGTTAAAAGCAATTTTTCGTGCACGGAAATACCAGGATGCGCCAACTGATCCTGCAATTATTATAAAACTCCCAAACCCCGCAGATAGAAACGTGCTTCTGAAAGCTATTGGGAATTTTAAATGAGTGAACAATAACGTGTTACGATTAACTCATGTGGGTATAAGTTCTGACGTTCCCATTTAAGTGAACGAGTCATTGACCAAACATAACCACGTGATATTTAAGTCCTCTCTTCAACTCAAAAAACGTAAAAAAAATCTCATCTGTGTTCACAAAAAGGGGCATCGTTTATGTCAAACGGAATACTAACGATAACCATCAAGCGATATATTCGATGGAGATCCTTAAGGATCTTGGAATCAGCAGCCCTGTTATTGGTCCTCCCTTTCGTGATGGTGGCGCCCAGAATGCAAATAAGTCATCCCAAGATGCACATAATTAATGCGGATGATTATAGTATTCCTCTCTTACGTTCTAAGTTTTGTTACTGCTTCTTATATCTTTCTTCAATTCTCTTACTTTATACATGTTTTCTGAGTTATGCAGGTTAAGTTTTTCATTAAATTTGTTAAAATCTATACACAGTGCAAATAATATATTAATAGAGTTTTGTTATTGTGTCTCCAGGCCATAAGTCGGCGAGTTCCAAAGACAGTCTTTTCACCCTACTACGTATCATCAGCAAAAAAAAAACAACCGGGCTGAAGATAATTCACTTGAACGCGCAAAGCTGATATAAAAAACTTGATGAATTTAGATATGCCTTTGAAGATTCGAATATTGATATTTTATGTGTTTCCGAAACTTGGTTTTCTTCATTTTATAGTAAAGACGTAGTAAAAGTAAATGGTTATAAACTTTTCAGAGCTGATAGAGGTGGTCATGGTGGTGGTGTTGCAATATATGTTAAAAATAGTTTGTCCTGTAGTTTAAGTTGTGCTTCCGGCAATGGTGATTCCGTCGAATATGTGTTTGTAGATGTGTTTTCCGAAAATAATAAGGTCCTTGTCGGCTGTGTATATAGACCAAATCGTTATGTTAATTTTACGGAATTGCTCATCCTCTTATTGAAAACTATAGAAACATTATAAATGCCGGAGATTTCAATAGCAACTTGCTCGAAGACAACAGTTTAAGGCTAAGTATGGAATCTCTTGGGCTTTTTCCCACTAATACATCCTTTCCGACACATTTTACCAACACTAACAGCAGCCTACTGGATATATTTTTTGTGAGCGACTTACAGAAATCCTTCCACTATAATCAGCTCTCTGCACCTGGATTCTCAAAACATGATCTAATTTTTTTGACATATGACATCGAAACGCCAGGAACACCAACCTCTTTTACATATCGGGACTTCAAATATATTGACTTTAACTCACTTACAGCTGCGGTTGAGTCAGTGGAGTGGACACATATTCAGAAGCTCGTATCTATTCAGGACCAAACTAGTTTCCTACAAGACCATATTAACTGAAGCTCTTAATCTTCTTAAAAATGCTCGGCTTACTGTGAACAAAGCCTTAAAAACAGCAAAAACTATCTTCTACAAAGAAAAGTTTAGTTCTGCTATAAATATAAAGCAAACTTGGAATACTATAAAAGATATTGAGATTGGGAAAACTAAAACAAATGCTCCTACTTCTTCCGATGTGAACGAATTAAATAAAAAATTTGTTAGTCTACCTGTTTCCACAGCTAATATATGTCTTGAAAACTACAGTGATCGTGCAAATGTTGGTGTCTGTCCGTTTGAATTTGTTTCTGTTGATGATTGTGACGTTGTGCAAGCCATACTCTGTCAGATCTAATGCGGTAGGATTTGATGGAATTCATGCAACTTTCCTTAAAATAATATTACCCAAGATCCTGCCACATTTAACCTATTTAGTAAACTCCATTCTGACAACCTGTGTTTTCCCAGAGCAATGGAAAGCTGCCAGGGTTATTCCTGTTCACAAAAAAGATGACGAATATAGACATATAGCTATCTTACCTTTTCTGTCGAAAGTCGTTGAGCGTATTTTATACAACCAAATCATTTCTTATGTGCAAGACAACAGACTTCTGTCAGACCGTCAGTCTGGGTTCCGATCGAAGAGTAGTTGCACAACGGCACTCTTGGACGTGGTAGAAAGCATTCGATCACAAATCGACGAAAATAGTATTGTCTTCTTAACCCTACTCGATCATTCTAAGGCTTTTGACTCAGTGGGCCATAGGTTATTATGTTGCAAGTTGAAAAACTTATTTAACTTTTCCTGCCATGCAACTGCCTTGATCAGATCTTACCTTGGCGGCAGAACTCAGGCTGTGAGCATTGGCCCCAGAAAATCTGATTTCCTACCAGTACTTAGAGGAGTCCCTCAAGGCTCCTTTGTTATTTGGTTTGTTTATAAACGACTTACCGAACGTTTTAAAATATTGTAATGTCCATACTTACGCTGATCATGTCCAATTGTATGCTTCCTGTCCTTCGGATCGTAGTAGTATTTGTATTAAGGATCTAAACTCTGACTTGACTCGTATAGGGTATTGGGCTACTAGTAACGGCTTATGCCTTAATCCTGACAAATCCAAGTGCATCGTCATTCATAGGAAATCCACTGTCACTAAAAAAAAAAATCTTGTTGGATAAGTCAGCCGTAAAATATGTTGACACGGCAAAAAATCTTGGTGTAATCTTTAATAAAACATTGACGTGAAAAGATCACATTTTTAGCACAGTACGTAAAGTGTATGGGATGCTTCGTACACTCTGGTTGACACAATACTTCACTCCTTTAAATATAATATTACTCTTAGCTAAAGCGTACTTAATACCTACGCTATTATATGGATGTGGGGTTTATGCAAATTGTGACTCCGTATGTTAGATAAAGCTAAATGTTGTCTATAACAACATTGCAAGATATGTATATGGTCAAAAAAGACTTGACCACGTATCACCATATGCTGAAAAACTGCTAAACATTTCTTTTGATAACCTTTTAAAAACTAAGATACTCCTTTTTTACATAAGGTTATATATACAAAGGAGCCTCGCTATCTCTATGGCAGGCTTCAGTTTCTTCAATCATCGAGGTCTACACTTATAGTGCACATCAAATTTCGACCTCGTGTGTCTGAACGGCAGTTTTTCATACACTCTATACGTCTTTGGAACTCTCTTCCCATTAGATTAAAACAATTAAATAATGCACTGTGTTTCAAAAAAGAATTAACCAACTTCTATACTACTAAGTAGTTGCATGTAGATGTATGTTCTTTTATATTGTTTAAGTAAAATGTTGTTATTTTTAGAGTTTAATTCTAAATTATTTATGTTCCATACTAAACAAATTTTGTAATTTCAATACTACAAAACTTATCTTTTGTCCTTAGCTTTGTTTATTTATAATTCTGTGACTAGCACTATTAAATAATTCATTGAATTGTTGTGCTAGGATTAAGTATCAAATAAATCAAATCTCATGAAAAATTCTAAGTCTGCAGTTTTATAGCCCAATAGATTCTAGCTTTAGAAAGTGCAAGTTTCAAGTGGCTAAGACTTCGCGTTGATTTTTGATAATTTTTTTTGTTGACGGTGTCAGGTATTTTCTTCCATACAAAAAATTTTCGAACATATTTTGTATGGAAGAAAATACGTGACACCGTCAACAAAAAAAAATATCAAAAATCAACGCGAATTCTAAGCCACTTGAAACTTGCACTTTCTAAAGCTAGAATTTAATGAGCTATGAAACTGCTTACTTAGAATTTGTCTTAAGGTTCTTAGTAAAAAGTTTGTTGCTGTAAGATATTATTAAATTTTTCGGCTTTTTCTACAAAGTTTGAAATTTGGATTTATATAGTTTTTGTTAGATATGGAGCTTAATTTTCATAAAGAAATAATAACCATTAAACAAACAAAGGAAAATAAACAAAACTGGTCAAAATGTCGTGTCACTATTATTTGTCACATGACTGTATGTATACATTTATAATGTTTCTCAAAAATAGTAGAATAATTTCGTTGCACCTTTAGGTATTTCGTTTATATTAATCAGTCTATGTATTAATTTGTAATCTGAGTGACTTTTATTCCAAAAGAAGCGGTATTGCTTCGAGCTGTAAACGAAGATAAAAAAATTTTGTTTACATTTATGCACACTAATCTGTGAATCACTCACTTGTATTAATTTCTTTTGATACCTGCAGACGAGTTCGTAGACATCAGCCTTAAATTGTTTTGACAATTGCAAATCCTCTGTTGCCCACTCTCGCCCATTTGAGGCAACAAAATGGCCAACATCGTCCCAACTATCATTTGTCGTTGCTACAGCCATAGTTTCCAGAGCACGCTCAATTATTTTTGCGTAGCCATCGTCTTCATTCACGACGCCGCTTTGCTTCAGAAGTCGATGGAACTATCTCTTCTTCAGATATAATATTGGCTCCCATATCGGATAGAGAAGCAGGTGAGGCTGATTGTGTTTGGCTCTATATTTTAAACAATATATTTAATAGTTGACCAATGTCAAATGTTATATGTATGTACATATGTACATGTACTCACATCTAACCAATTCGACGTTGTGGGCGCACTATTTTGTAGTACGGCTCCAAAAATTTTAATGAAGTGTACAGAGGATTCGGTGGAACTGCTTCTCCGACACCTTGTCCACTTTTCGTTTGCCCCATTTTGTTGAAGGCAGCCTAAATTTACAAAAAAAAATATCTAATATTGCACATATATACATATGCACGGCATACAAACTTATATCCCGAACACAATGAAAACGACGAGCTACAAACCACAGCTGTTAAATTATTTTAACACGTACTCTTATGTAGATAATTATTTTGGCGACGACCGGGCTACGCGACGGCTGTGGTTGTGGCCAGATTAGATCTATTTCTATTTTTCTGGCGACAGATAAGGTTCTTCCTCTTCTTTTATGTCAAACTCATACAAATTCATGATGTCGCTGCCGCGTTCAAAGAAATCATGTCGCCATCGACAAAGCGTTTAGATAATGAAGATAACAAATTGGAAGCTGTGGTCTGTAGCTCGTCATTTTCAATGTGTTCAGAACTTTACGCGAAAAGAGCAGCGGAGACTGTTCCATTTAGCTGACACCTCCGATCGTGGCAGCTCCATTTTGTCAGCTACTTCTTGCCATAGAGCCTCCCGCGCGTTTCTGTCTCTATATTCCTTAGACAAATAGTCTCCACTTCTTCGATCAGCCTCTCCGTTTCCTCGCTCGTCCACTTTACGGCCAGCTTGCGCACTCGCTTCTTGGTGCGCTGGCATTGGGCAATGTAAACTCATTATCTTCCAATATTTGTAAGCTAAAACCAAATAACATTAAAGTAATAACTAATATTAAATAAATACGAAAGTTTAATACCAAAATTACCTTTGATGATAATTCTTTTCCACGGATTGTCAGCTGTTCGTATGGCAAATGAGAACAAATTGCAAACATGTTGGCAAATGAATTTTATTGTCAAATGCTGCCATATCCAGGGTGGGCAAAAACTCGGAGTTCGAGCGAGCGAGCGAGCAAACTCCTACTCAATGCCTCGCAGACAAGAGGCGCTCGTAGCTCGTACTCGTAGCAGCAATGGGCGAGGAACGAGAAGTTTGCCTCGCTCGCCAAACGAGCGAGCGCTGCTTGTTTCCTCGCGCTCCTATTAAACGAGCGAGGCTGTTGTGTGTTGCCTCGCTCGTAGTACGAGGCGAGTAGCTGTCTGCATACTCGCTCTGCTAGGTAAGACGAGTGAGCGAGGAGCGAGCGCTCCGAGTGCACTATACAACACATGCATTTTTGTGCATAAAAATGTGGGAATGTATGTCAATAGATTATGTACGAAAGTATGTTAATAATTGTATGTACATATGTACATATGCATATAAATATGTGAATATTATATCGAGCCCTAACCGCCAAAATAAGGTAAGCGACATTTTTTTCAAAATTTTATTTTTGATGCAGAAATGTACCTAGATGCTCTGGGAATATTTCTGCATCAAAAAGAAAATTTTGAAATAAATGTCGCTTACGTTATTTTGGCGGTTAGGGCTCGATATTAGGGCAGCTTTTAAAACAACAAATAAAATTTATTACATACGAAAGCATAGATTATGGAATGAGATATTTTTTAGAGTTATATACATACATAACATGCATATTTATATATGTATGTATTTATGTATGTATGTACATATGCATGTATTTTGTCTTTACAGAGAAAAGTAAGTAACGAAGATAGTATAGATAATCGTTTGGGCCGCAGAAACAAAAAACAAGTAAGCACTTGTTAGCACCCCAAATAGTTTGCTACTTGTAGCAGTTATGCTGTATACCTGAATGAAATATAATCCTTGGAGAAAAAATTTATTTGTGGCCTGTTGTTCAAGGACATATGTACATATGTATGTATGTATGTATGTATGTATGGATATGTATTTGCGTAAACAAAGAATAGAGGCCGGTTCACATACAACTTTGGCGTTGCGTTGGCGTTGAATTTTAAAGCAGCCGTCCACCGTATATATGTACTTACCATTACGTTACTTCGTTTGCCTGCCTGAGTAAATTGTTTGCCTTTGATGTCTCGTTTTTTCCCCTTTGTCCACTCAGCTTTTACCTACTTCACATCGCCCCCGTTTGGTTTACCCGCTTTATATGCTCGCTCGTTTGCGTTTCCCGGATTTTCCCTACCCTCCGCTCATGGATGCTACCTAGTATGTATGCAGACATAGGCACCAAAATTAAAAAATATGAACATTCTACTTGAAATGTTTCCAAAATTATTAAAACAACACAATTATGATATTTTTCGAGTGAGAATGATATATTTATGCTATAAAACTACACACCAAGCATTGCTCTGCATATAAATGTGATTAAAAAGTTTAAAACTTTGTTGAAATTTTCAAATTTTTTTACAAAGTATGAAACTTGCTTAGACTTGTATGGTCTGTCTCTCATGTACACTTAGGTCTTTTTTATGCGGTAGATGCGTTCTTCAGAAAGCCGCATAAAAAAGTTCTTTAATTTCATACAAGAACAGGAGATGCGTTCCAGCATTTTCAAAACCCGCATAAATTCAGATACTTCAAAAAAAAAAAAAACAATTTATTTCTTCACTTCTGTATTTTAACCAAAACAAAAAATATCATAAAAAATACATGAATTATGTAAGAAAAATTGATTGCAAAAAGTAATAAAAACTCTCAAAGAAGCAAAATCGATACAGCGAAAAAAATGTTTGAAAAACCTCATAAATTCAAATCCGCATAAAAAAGAACCACATAAAAAGAGACCTAAGTGTATAAGTTGAAATTTTATAAGCTATTGAAAGTTAAACAAACTATACCTACATATACTACGTTTATACGTAAGCTATTTGCAAATAAAAATAATTTGCAAATACCTAACTCACTGTTTATTCGATGGTGAAAAATTCTTTTTTAATATTGCCTGATTATAAAAAGGCAATAATATGACAATCGAAAAAGAAAATAAAGTTAAAAATGGCAACGTCTTGATTAGAAAAAGGCAATAAGATGACAATCGAAAAAGAAAATAAACCTAAGAATGGCGGCGTCTTGCGCTTATTTGCAAATAGTAGCACTAATCAATACTTATTTGCGTGATTTAGTTATTTGCAAATAAAAAGTTAACTCAGCGTTTATACGGCAAATTTTACCATTTTGCAAATTGTTATTTGCGAATAATACGTGCGTATAAGTACATAGTAATATATATGGGTCGTTCCATATCATTTTTGCAACTAAAAAATAGATTGGCCTGAAACATTTTTTTTTATAAACTAGATGCAATATAAATCGACACGTATTTTTTTATTTTCGCAAATTATGCGAAATTTGCGA